CAGATCTCCTCGTGCATGCTGCCCTGTAGGAAAGCAGTGCTGAAGTCAAGAGAGTGAAGCTCGTAGTCGCGCTGAGCGGCTATGTGCAGCAGCACCCGAAGAGTGGTCATCTTCGGGGTGGGAGAGAAGGCCGGAAAGTAGTCAACTCCCTGCCGCTGACTGAAGCCTCGAGCCACGTAACGCGCCTTGAAGACAGGCGGAGAGCCCGGCGGCCGCTTCACCCTGAAGATCCACATCCCACTGACGATGTTCGTCCTAGGTGAGGGAACCTCGTCGACGTAGGTGCCTGTGGACTTCCAGGATGCCATCTCTGCGTCCATGGCCGACTGCCACTGAGAGGAGTAGGGACCCTCGATCGCCTCAGCGTACGATCGAGGAGTCGGGATGTCTGGTGCATCCAGGTCTCCCTCAGGGGCAATTCGCATGGTTACGAGATGGGGCAAAGCAGCCGCAAAGCACTGGAACTCCTCCTGCCTGTCCTTAAGGACGTCCGTGCTAAGAGCACACTCACCCCCGACGGACGGAGGACAGACAGACTCAGACTCAGCAACAAGACTGGCAGCGTAGTCTAGACGACAGCGAGCAGCGAAGTCGACAAGCTCAGCAACGAGAGCAGACGCAGCAGCAGACTCAAAGGAAGGGTCAGTGACGACAGTAGCAAGAAGGCGCGTGACCGAAGGACTAGCAACACGAAGGGAGTCAGACTCTCAGAACTGGACAGGCGGTGGACACTCTAGGGGAGGAGCAGGACCAGTAGAGGGCGGGAGACCAAAAACCTGCTCCATGAGCGGAACGAAGTATGGCCTCGGCCGCGCAGCGCCTCTAGAACCAGCAAGTACGGCACCAGTACCCCCAGCGGAAGCACCAGCGCCAGCAGAACCTCTAGCTCCAACAACGCCAACTCCAGTACCCTCAGAAGCACCAGCGCTAGCAACACCGCCAGCGCCAACACCCCCAGCAGCTCCAGCTCCAGAAGCACCAACTCCGGTAGGACCGTCAGCACCAGTAGAAACACTAGCGCCAACACCCCCAGCAGCTCCAGCTCGAGCAGCACCAACTCCAGTATGACCGTCAGCACCAGCTGCCTCAGCACCACCCCCAGACGCACCAGCACCAGTAGAAACACCAGCGCCAACACCCCCAGCAGCTCCAGCTCCAGCAGCACCAACTCCACTAGGACCGTCAGCACCAGCTGCCTCAGCAGCACCCCCAGACGCACCAACACCAGTAGAAACACCAGCGCCAACACCCCCAGACTCAGCAGCACTTCTCCAGCGGCGTGCGAACCACACGCGCAGCTCCCGTGGAGAGAGCGGCTCCCGCCTCGACGAAGTACCGCTGGCGGCCACACGAGCAGACCCAGCATCCCCAGGCTCCGCACCCCCAGACTCAGCACCCCCAGGCTCAGCACCTCCAGGCTCAGCACCCCCAGACTCAGCACCCCCAGACCCGGCACCCGCAGACCCGGCACTCGCAGGCTCAGCACCTCTAGCAGCACCAAAGTCTACAGCTACCTCGACAAGCTCGACTGCGTCTACCTGGGACACACCTGAAGGGGCAGGACCTTGAGGAGGGAGGGGGTCTACCTGAGTAGCACCAGGCGCAAGAAAGGGCGGCGGCGGGGGGAGGGGCGCAGTGCGGTTGGGGAAGAGACGGTAGTAAGGCACCAACTCGTCAAAGGTGACGTCCTGGGAGGACAGAACACGGCGCGTGGTGGGGTGGTAAAACTGCCAGCCAGGCGCGTCAGGGGGGAAGCCAAGGAAGACGCAAGGAACAGCACGGGGGGACAGCTTGTCCGCAGACAAGTCGCGGACAAACGCCCGAGATCCCCAGATCCGAAACGCAGACGCATCGCCAACCTTCCCTATCAACCGCAAGGCGGGGGAGGTCTCTGGCAAGGAGACCCGGGGCTGAAGGTTAAGCTGATGCGCGGCGTACTAAACCGCAAACGGCCACAGAAAATGGGGGGCTGCCGCATGCATCATGGACGTACGCGCGACGTCCATGACCATGCCAATGCGGCGCTCAGCAATCCCATTTTGCTGTGGAGAGGCCGGAAGAATGAAGGTCTGGCGGATGCCTTGTGCCCGACAGAAGGCTCCCAGACGGGCAGAGGAAAACTCCCCTCCTCTGTCCGAGTGCAGACGCAAAACAGGAAAACCGGAGCCGAAACTCTCTCTGAGCTGGAGACGAGCTGCGCGGATCCAGTCGATCAACACCTCAGTGACGTCACCCTTGCTGCGCAAGGGGAAGACTGTGGTGTAACGCGAGTAGTCGTCAACGACCAGCAGAAAGTACCGCTCTCTCCCCTGCCCACTGACGCGGGTTGGGCCCCACACGTCCATGTGTAGAGTCTGCACCGGAGCCTCTGTCGGAGGAAACTCAGAGGAGTGAGGGGCGGCGCGCTGTCGCCCCTTGACGCAGGGGACGTAGGTAGGGCCAGGCCCCGGAGGAAGGGGAGGGAGAGACCAAGGAAGACCAGAGACAAGGACACGGGAGGCCATGCCTCGGAGACAAGGCAAGGAGGGGTGACCAAGGCGGTGGTGCCAAAGGAGAGTCTGGTGGGACAGCAAACGACACGAGCAGGGGGCAGACTCAGGACCAGACCTGGACGCCGCAGCAAACACCTGACTCGACGCAGCTACCTGGGCAGACTCAGCAGTAGGAGGAGACTCAGCAGTAAGGGTGTACAGGCTCGACCCTGGCCGACGGGTGAACATGGCCAAGTGTCGGCCTGTCCGAGCACACCTGCAGTGGGTCACTGGCTGACTCGCAGGAGTGAACTGGTCAACCCCTCGATCCTGTAGGTCCGCTCCACTCACCAAGTTCGTAGAGAATGAGGGGAGGTAGAGACCAGACAGGGTGCCAGAGGGGGCAGCAGGGCACGGAAGGACAGTGGAGAAGCTAGCAAGGAGAGGACCCCCAGAGGGGTCTGCCAGGGAGACTGCAACCGGCCGACTAAGCGGCGTAAGAGTGGTGCGGTCTCGAAAGAAGGAGCGGGACGCACCCGAGTCAAGGGTGAAGGTGTGGAAGGCCTGAGCCGACGTAGTACCTGAGAGAGCAGATTCACCAGCACCTGGGGCGGCAGACGCACTGGCACCTAGGGAAGCAGACGCACTAGCACCTAGAGCAGCAGTCTCACCAGCACCTAGCGCAGCAGCCTCAATGCCCGGGTCAGGCGGTACACATAGGTAACAGGCACCCTCAACACTATCAGCAACAGCATACATGGCAGCAAGAATAGCATCAATGTCAAGATCAAAGATAGCAACCCCGGCCTTAGCCAGATCTCCCCAGCGAGGGATCCCGCACTTATAACACAACCCTGTAAAAGGGCGGTCTTGTGCGTGGACCCCGTTGATTGTGGCCTGCTGGGCCTGGCCACGAAAACGGTTCCCCTCCTGGGAACCTGCCTTCACCCACTGCATCAGCACATCCGAGGATTCCGCCAACTGTACAACTTCCATAAACCTTGTCAGGCGGTGTTGGCGGACCTCGTAATGTATCTCATATTTCAGGCCACTGACGTACTTATCCAACCGCCCAAATTCCGCCATGTCGCCCACTTGGTCGGCGAGAGCCATGAATGATGCAGTCTAGTCTTGAACAGAAGCCAGCTATGACCAGGCACGCAACTTCATGCGAGCTTGCTCTGAGGTGGATATGTGCTCAAAGCGATCTCGTAAGGCTGCTCCCCACTCCTTCCACGTGCGTGTCTTGGTCTCTCCGAAGATCAATGTTGCCCTTTGATTGGCCAATGTCGAGGCCCTGTCTGCCGCATGTGTCACGCCTATTGGACGTGTCCAAGGTTCGGCGCCACCATTCAAGCATTGCGCCTCGTAGAAGAGAGACCGCATAATTAATACGTGTGGCATCGTCGTTGACGTTTGTTGGAGTAAAGACGACTTCAACACTGAAAAGCCACCCCTTTCACCGTAGTATTCTTGTCTGTAGGGTTGAACGGGGGTGGGCTCGCATGATTAATCTTGATCGTCTTGACTGCAATTGGTGTCGCTGCCGCTCGCTACCTATCTTCTTCTTCGGCGCCAACGGGCTGCTCACCGCTTGACTGTTGCCCTCGCCTTCTTCATTGGGCGACTCCTTGCGCTTCACCTCGCATCTAACGAGGTGTTTTCTTCACGTAGTGTTGTCACTTCTGCCGATAATTTCTTCACTTTTGCCTGTAGCTCTGCCATTTGCGCTAGCATCTTGTTCAGTGTTTCCTGGTCCATGAGTCGCATGCTTCGTCAGGTGGGCAGAAGGGTATCCGTGGCCTTTAGGCAAGTGGAAAGCAAAAACCATCGGAGTTGGGCAGGTTAGAGTTAACGAACCTTGCAGCCAATCGTTTTGCTGTCCGCTGTACCAGCCAACCCGTGCCACCAAACTACCCTAAAAAAGCGGGGTGAACTAGGAAAGTAACTCTGATACCAGGCGTTATGAGTTGTTAAAGAGAGTGCGCGGAATAACGAATAACGAGAGTGTGACTCAAAGAATTGCACATACAATGAAGGCACGCGCTAATACAGTGACTGCCCTAGCTAGGAGGGAACCTCGGGAAAAGGAGGTTGGGCGCAGGTTTGGCGATCAGAAGGCCGAAGGCGACACGGGGCAGCCTCAGCTTCGTGGATGTCGGCCGATCGTGCGAAGTCCGAATTGTCGGGGTTGTACGCGTACAGTCAACCCCGGTAAAGAAAAGGGAAATTCTTTACAGATGCCAAGAGTCGGTGATGTATGTTGCATGGTTAAAGAAAAAACAGAATGAAGCAAAGATAAGCCTGTACTGTACATCTTTCTTAATCATTCGGGTCTACAATATGTACGTCAAGGGGCTCTAATTTCAGCCAAAAACTACTTACTATGGCCAAAAAAGATCCACATGTATGGCATTACGCAACGAAGGATCCATCCCTGAGATGCACTTTTAGCACAAAATTAAACCAAAGGGACAAAGCAAGCTTTATATGGGTGGACGTGAGGGTGCGATGCGATTACCCACCGCCTTACAGAGAAGAGGGAATATCTGGTCACGAATACAAGGGAAGCTCCACTCAAAGTAACAAAGATTGAAGGCAAAAAAAATAGCGGAAAGATGAAGCAGATAACTTGAAACAGAAGGGGCAGGGTATCGTGCAAGGCAGCATACCTGTGATGAAGTTCCAGGACAAAATGGCATGTCTTTGGGGCTGGCTGCCTGAGAGGGCCACGAAGCGGAAGAGGAAGAGAGCATCGGATGCAGTGGGCTTGAGCACGGAGCAGAGAGACACGCTTGTTGTGAGGGTTGGGGTGAGGGGCTGCTGGGGGTCGGAGGAGAGGAAGACTCGGAGAGTGCCGCCGCTGGTGGGGTCATAGTGGATCCAGGCGTGCTTGGTGTGGGCGTCGTTGAGGATGAGAGGGGCCGTGGCAGAGGCGACGGACACAGGTGAGCCGCCCACATTGACGCCCACATGGTTGTCGTTGGGGTCGCTGAGCTTCACACTCAGCACCGAGTCAAACTCCACCGCCACACTCCGCTTCCCCACCCCTCCCAGCCCACGCTTGTCCGCTTGTCAGGAGCAGCTGCTGCCATCACGAACGCAAGCCCTTCCCCACCTGCCCCCTGATCCCCGGGGAACATGGCAAAGGTGAAGGCAACGAGGAAGCCCAGTTGAGTTCCGCAGGGAGAGCGCTTGTCAGGAATGTAGAAGAGGCGCAGTGCGGGCGATGCAAAGGCAGAGCCTTGCTGGCTGGTAGCGCCACTGGTGAGCAGAATGGAGCCGTTGGAGAGCAGCAAGGCAGAGCCCCCAAGGGAGACGTACGCCAAGCCAGATGCCAGAGATGCCCGCGCAGCTGCAGTGGAAGGGGGCAAAGGCATGGGTAGAGCGATATTTGGCATGAGGATCAACTAGAATTTATGTTTATACATAAGAGAGTAGCATGGCATTATGGGTGTGCAGGAGTCCGGGTATGGTTGCTGAAAGGCGCTTACCACCAGGAACACATGTGTTGGTGTTGCTGCTGCTGACCATGTAGTTGGGATCGCACACACACTCCCCTGCTCCAGTGAAGGCATTCCGGGAGCAGTAGCCATGGCCCCCACACAGAGGGCCAGTGGCACCGACCTCCAGCCCACAGAACGCAGCACAGTCTGCAGCAGACCGCTGGGTGTAAACAAGGCCGCAGATGCCATTGTAAGGCGTGAGGCAGTTCAAATACGTGTTCCACGTGACTGCAGAGCAGTTGCTGAACTTGACCTGCCCGTGCGAGAAAAAGTTCTCGGCAACAGTGTAGGACTCCTGCACGCCTAGTGTTGCAGGGCTGGGAAGGCGCCCAGAGAACTGGTTGACGTGTAGATGCTTGCCACAGCAACAGTGATGCACGCCCGACCAAGCACGTTGAGACTAGAGCAGCCTGTTCTGAAAGCTTGAGGTGAAAAAGAACGAGTGGAGAGTGAGAGAGGGCCAGTGTACAGGTGTGTGGTGACACCTACAGTGTTGTGGCGTTCTTCATGCCTCGTATGATGGGCTCCACGGGGCCCGAGAGCTGGTTGAATGCCAGCGATTTGAGAGCAGGGAGCATGAATCGAGACAGGTTAGGTATGTGGCTAGCACGATGCACAATGGACAGGGACAGTGGTTAAAGAGAGCAGCTTTGGGACACGTACAGATATTGCACCTTGGAAAGGCTCTGGAGGGTACTGGGGAGAGTCCCCTGCAGCTGGTTGCCAAACATCTCCCTGCTTGATCCATGCACATCACACGCACACACCATAGTCAACACGTGCCCTCAAAATGCACGCAGTGAAACACGTTGTTTCTGCTGCAGCGCGTCGCAGAGTGCTGGTTACAGCTACGCTCAAGTGGAATGGATGGAGTCATCTGCATGCGCTATCCGTACGCACAGGCCCAGCAGGTTGGTGAGTTCCCCAATGGCTGTTGGGATGGATCCTGACAGCTGATTGATTGCCAGCCGCCTGCCAACTCAAAAGGTTCGAGTACACGGACACTTGTGGGTGAAAGGGTGGATAGTGTGGAAGGACAGAATAGAGTAGAAAAGGTGGCTTCATGCTGAAACTGGGTCAGGTAAGTGAGTTCGAATCGCATCACTGACTTGGGAAAGCATGGGCAAGGCAGCAGCTGCAGTGCAAGATGATGGGTTGTGATGACTCACAGGTACTGCAAGCTAAGAAGATCACCGAGCGCTGCAGGTATGCTTCCAGAAAGATGGTTGGCAGTAAGAAATCTGAGGTGAGCGTGGTGTGAAACATGGATGAGCATGGTGTGAAACATGGATGAGCATGGTGTGAAACATGGATGAGCATGGTGTGAAACATGGATGAGAATGGCGTGAAACATGGATGAGAATGGTGTGAAAAATGGATGAGCATGGTGTGAAACATGGATGAGAATGGTGTGGAACATGGATGAGAATGGTGTGAAACATGGATGAGAATGGTTTGAAACATGGATGAGAATGGTGTGAAACATGGATGAGAATGGTGTGAAACATGGATGAGAATGGTGTGAAACATGGATGAGAATGGTGTGATTTGAAACTTGGATCCGAACACTGCAGAATTGATGCTTACAGAACTTCAAGCTGCTGCAGTGATGCCAGAGATGCTGGAATGGACCCGCTCAGTGCATTGTACTGCAATATCCTGCCACGAGGCCATGCACACACGCACCACACACATCCTCACACACGTACAATGCGCCACACACTCCATGTGTGACCAGTGTCCACAGGTGAACGTGGGTGACTGATCAATACCCTTCACGTTCCATCGACTGTACATGGCTATTAAGAAGTGTGCAGAAGCACAGGTGTGTGTTGGCTTGGGGCAACAAAACTCACAAAGTCCTGAGACTGGAGAGAGTTCCAAACCACTCAGGGATGGACCCTGTCAGGTGATTCCCATCCACAATGCTGCAGGTCACATTTTGAGAACAGGAGGAACAAAACAGGGTGAGAGGAATAATGCTTTAATGCAGATGGCAGCATGCAGCACGTGATGCAATACCATGTGCAGTAACAGCCGGCATTGGAATTGCTAGGGTTCTGCGAGCAAGCACCTTGGGCACAATGCACTGTGATTGCATGTGTGGCGAACCAAACGCCATGTTTCGATAGATGAGATTTGTCAAGTGACCCTGAAGAAGGCTAGCAATAGGTGCAGGGGCGCAGGCAGGGTGCAAGAGTTGAAAGGAGCATCTCACAGTCGAGAGAGGTTGTGCAGGCGGCTGAAAGAGTCGGGTATGGATCCACTGAGCTGGTTCAAACGTAGCACCCTGCACTCGCCAGCGACGGAATAGGGCCTCACGGGCCAAGACAGATTGAGGAACAGGAAGACTTACTGAACAAGCTCGAGTAACGAAGTATAGGCCTTGTTCTGAAGCGGGTGTTTGAGTCCACAATGAGACAGTCTGGGTGGGAGGAGCAAGGCGCATTGAGAGCACGATGCTGCACGGCAGCGACCATCCAGTGAAGGTACATACATATCCTTCAGCTGTGCCATGTTGCCCATGGAGGACGGAATGTTTCCATAGAACGAGTTCGTATCAAGATCACTGCATGGTAAGAGGGTAAGAGAGGATGGATGGAGAGGAAGGGTATCGAAATATATCTTGAAATGGAGTGCCTTGGCAAGAACGATGGAATTCTGTGGTAGTTGAGCAGTGCATGGCGCAGTACATGAAAACGACCACAGCCCACGGGCATCGTTCTTCCTCAGCCTCTTGAAAACGACAAGTTCACAGTCTTTCCACACACGTGCGCATGATGTTTCCACCAAATGGTTGGATGCAATCCCACCAACTGCATTCTACACCCTCCACAATGAAAGAGCCACAACCACGAACACATTGCAATGTGGGATTCAAAGGGGTGAGTGACATTCGCGCCACTTCAAAGTGGTGAAATTGTAATTTCAAATTAGGAACCAGCAAAGTGGTCCGTCAACTAACAATCCATTTCGATCCCATTGTTGAACAGGGACCACAAGTACTAACAGGAAAAGAAAACGCGATGTCCACATGTTAACTGATGTGGCTCACAGCAAGCGAAGGGCGGTGAGTTTGCCAATGTCAGAGGGAATGGAGGTGTTGAAAAGGTTCTGGTCCAGAAAGCTGAGGGGGCAAGGGGCACAGAGCACACACATAGAGGCTCGGAAAATCTGAATGGCATTACTCATGAGCACCCTTTAGCACCTCGTCACAGCAAGCCTACGTCATCAGCTGTTCTCTCGCGCGTGTTTCACAAAGCACATTCCAACTGGGAGGATGATGGGGAAGGATGAGGAGGAGCGGAAGAAGTGGAGTGGGGAGGGGAGATTTTTTCCACTGGAATGCTGTCAATTCTGGTAGGTGATAAGTAAGAATCGTAGCAGTAGTGGTAGGTAAGGCGTGGGTGGGAAGGGGGGAGGGGGGAAAGGGGGGGGGGGGAACCCTGGGGGGAGGGAATGGGAAGAGAAAGAAGGGGTAAATACAGAAAATGCTCGAGCGAATCGGCGTTTTGGACCTCAAGAGCAAACATTGCTGACAAGCATGAATGAACTATTATGAACAATAGGGCGGCGGAAATCCAACAAAGACCATTCCTGGCTTAGTGCGATTGAACCCTAGACCTAAACTTTGGCTAGCAGCCTCAATAGTCACGGCAAGGTGTTTTCTTCCCATGATAAGGTTGCTGCTTCAGCTGCAACTACTACTCGGCAGCCGAAGATAACCTTTGCTCCAACTGAGAGACAGCAAGGCGTGGTAAGTCGTATGCTTGCAATAACTGCCGTCTGATGAAGCTGCTGGCTACGTTAGTAAGATTTAAGAACATCGAAGTATTTGTTTAGGGAAATCCAGATGAATTAATGAATGTGTACAGATACTGAAGCCACGGGAAGTTGGTGAGTGGATCGATGGGACCTGAGAGCTGATTCACGCCAAGGGAACTGAAACAGGGAAAACGGAGGACAGACACGCAACGAAGGGAACATGGGAAAACCCTTTGAGCCCACACAGGCATGCTCATGGGCTGTCCACAAGCAGCATGACCATGTTAGGATAATAAATATAAAAAAATTGTTTTACAGCATAAGGTGCATGAACATGTGTCACAAGTTATGGGCATCTCCAACGAAAATGCTGCACCCATCCATCATGTGCCCTATGGACGAGCTCTATACCTTCAACTCAAGTGTTACCCACAGCAATCGCAAGTTGGTCAAGCGGCTGAAGCCTGCTGGGATAGTCCCTGTGATGAAATTCCCGCGCAAGTCGCTGGAGCACAGGTGACAGGCATGGGGTGCATGGAAGGGTGAGCAGAGAAGAGCGCATGCAGAATCAGCATATGAGGCGAGGTGGATTCACGGCTGACGAAAAGATAGTGAGGTGCACACTTACAGAATGATGAGCGATGTGAGACTGAAGAGGGAGTCAGGAATGGTGCCTGTGAGCTTGTTCAATTGGAGCGTTCTAGAGAAGAGGCAGTGATGGAAGAAATTTCGGGGAGGAGCAAAGTGGGTGAACTGGAAAGGGCAAGAGTGGGCTAATGGAAAGTGAGAAACGGAGGGAAAACAAGAGCAGTGACTCTGACAGAGTTGATGTGTGCCTTGCTGTCTTGATGCAATGGAGCGCTTGGCAGACACTTCTAGGTACATAGCAAGCACAGATGTGTGGGATGCGTCCCTGCTTGCGTTGGTGCATCGCAATTGACTAAAAGGTGCTGCTCATAGCTCCACTCTGGCGCTGAGAGGTACTGCATGGCTCACAGGCTTGTGAGGTGCTGCAACCGGCTAATCATGTCGGGTATTGGTGCAGAGAAGCTCCTCGAATGTAACAATCTGCACCAAAGACGAGAGGGGTTTCCATAAGACTAGGCATGCAACAAGCACAAGGTGGAATG